AAAAAAAAAAAAAAAAAGTTTTGTAAAGGGGTGGGAGAGTCGCACCCCCCCCGCCCCGCCTTGCTCTGGTTTGCTGGTCACACCCCCAGGAGGTCCTCTGACCATTCACAGCCCAGGGCCGCTGCCGGGACGGGGCGGGTGTGGGCGGAGCCTGACGGAGAACTACCCGGGTCAATGAAGGGGGCGGGCTCGTCTCGCTCAACCTGGGGCCGATTCAAACTGAGGGAGGCGGGGATTGGCTGAGCCGGCCCCGCCCCGCCTTGCTCTGGTTTGCTGGTCACACCCCCAGGAGGTCCTCTGACCATTCACAGCCCAGGGCCGCTGCCGGGACGGGGCGGGTGTGGGCGGAGCCTGACGGAGAACTACCCGGGTCAATGAAGGGGGCGGGCTCGTCTCGCTCAACCTGGGGCCGATTCAAACTGAGGGAGGCGGGGATTGGCTGAGCCGGGCAGGAGAGGGACTAGCACCGCAATAGGTAGAAGTCACGGGATTGGCTGGCGGAAAGCCCAGTGTCCAGTTTCCATTGAGAGACGCAGTTTAGACCGCGGAATTGTAAGCACGGGAGAAGCAGTCGACTACGGAGAAATCGTAGCCTTGCTGTGAGAAATAGGATTTATGAGATAGCAATTGAACTGAAGTTACAAGGCAAAATTTGTGCCCTTGAGTGGGATTAAAAATTAATTGGCCAACAGGTCAAGGCCGAAAAAACTAAGTACCCTGGGGAGGCTGGATTTTAGTAGTATAACTCTCAAAACCACCAATAAAATAGCTGAGTTTAACGGCGTAGTAGTCCTAATACTGATAATTGAACGACAGGACGACTTTCCAATAGAAGCGAATAAAAGTGAGGTGGGCGGAGAGCCTGGAGCGACAGACACACATTTAAACCAATGGTCAGGTTACATCCAGAAAGTAGGGGCGTACCTTTCAGCTGAGCGACAGACTCGAAGAGCCAGTGATAGATGGGTTCTTGAGCTCCGCGACCAACCAGAAGGGCAAATTCCCCTGGAGAAGCTCTGAGGGGCGGGAAGAGAGAAGGTACGCGGATCTCCGCACACCCCGGCGGAAGAGGCAGATTCAGGAAGCCATTACGCAGCTGGCTGGCAGCGGCTGGGCCAGTCGGGGCTGGGCCCTACGCACTTTGCGTAGCAAGGGGGGTTACCTAAGGCCTGGTGCTTGGCTTTGAGCAAGACCGGCCCATCCCCTGTAGGGGGGTGGGTGAGGGACGAGGCTGGGGAAGAACAGAAGGGAAATAGGGGTGATTGGGAGCATTATAATTTCTTTAATAATAGGAGTGAAGAGAGGCTATGGCTGTCCCAGCCAAGAAGAGGAAGATGAACTTCTCGGAGCGAGAGGTGGAGATCATCGTGGAGGAGCTGGAGCTGAAGAAGCACCTGCTAGTGAACCACTTCAACGCCGGGGTCCCTCTGGCCGCCAAGAGTGCAGCCTGGCACGGCATCCTGAGAAGGGTCAACGCGGTGGCCACGTGCCGCAGGGAACTGCCCGAGGTCAAGAAGAAGTGGTCGGACCTCAAGACGGAGGTCCGTCGCAAGGTTGCCCAAGTCCGGGCCGCTGTGGAGGGTGGCGAGGCCCCAGGCTCCACCGAGGAAGACGGAGCCGCTGGGCCTGGGACAGGCGGTAGCAGTGGCGGAGGTGGCCCAGCGGTAGCACCCGTCCTGCTGACCCCCATGCAACAACGCATCTGCAACCTGCTGGGTGAGGCCACCATCATCAGCCTGCCCAGTACCACAGAGATCCACCCCGTGGCCCTCGGACCCGCGGCCACTGCAGCCGCAGCCACAGTCACCCTGACACAGAGTGAGTGACCTCCCTGCCCAGCTCTACGTGCATAGAGGGGAAGGGCCGGCCAGCACTGGGGCATCCTGGGGACGGTGGCCGCCAAGGATCAGAAGGTCAGATGGGGATCTTGGAGGATAAAAGGCCTTCCAAGTGGCTCCCCAGAAGCGATCTTGTTCCCTTTGGGACTTCCTCAGCATGTGGTCCGGCCTTGTCCCATGCTGGGTAGCTCTCTACTGTGTGTGTTGCCACCATTTATGTTGGTGATTCCCACCGCTTGCTGAACTATGTGGTCCTTGGAGGAGACACAGGCCATAACTGTATACCCACAGGACTTATCCCAGGGCCTAGCAGGTGGTGGCACCCAGGATCCCGCTTATTGAATGAATAGATGAGAATAATACTACCTAGGTGAGACATCGTTAACATTCACCAGGGCCTGATTCCAGCTGCTAATCTACTAATTCACCTACTCCTTTAACATGAGTGCTTATTCCATGCCAAACCCCATGCTGGGCGCTGGAATTACCTAGGCATTCATAATATAGACCCATTATATTCTAGGGGAGTCTAGAGGAAGGGCTCATAAGAGGAAGAGGCTCCCTGGGGAGGCGGGGACAAGTGTTTGCTATTGGCCCTGAAGGGTGGAAAAAGCTGGCCTCTTCTGTGTGCCCAGGGCCCACAGAGTGCATCTGAGACCCCTTCAAAAGTTCTCAGCTACGAATGACAATAGAACTGACGGGTTGGGTTTTCTGGTTGAGGTGATGGTTTGTGCCTCTGTGCACTTCTTATTTGTAATGGGCTGTGAACTGTGTCGGCCAGTTTTTCTCTTTTGTTTTTCAGTTTTTGGGAGGGTTTTTTTGTGTGTGTGTTTGAGACAGGGTCTCGCCATGTGGTTCAGGCTGGCCTTGAACTCACTGTGTAGCCCCGGGTGCCCTCAAACTCGTGATCGTCCTGCCTCAGCCTCTTGAGTCCTGGGATTACAGGAGTGCACCACCACACCTGGCTTCTGCCGGGGTGGGGGCTTGGAGTAATCGGGTGTATGCGCGAGTGCCACCGCATCCTGCCCCCACCGTGCCATACTTCTTGGTTACATATATTGAGGTGGGAAAAAGGGACAAGCGTTCATCTAACTCAGATGCTGTTCTGGAACAGGAAGGACATATAAGTATCCCATGGACTAAAGAAAGAAAAAGGGAGACATTTACTTTAGCTACTTCTGCCCTGCTCCCTGCTGCCAGCTCCTTTTCTGCTTATCCTCAAGAGACTTGGAAGTCAAGAGAGCATCAAAGGAGGTTGACTTGTCCAGCTGCAGTCAGCTGTGTCATCCACCCCACCCCACCCCACCCCCCGTGTGCCTGCTGCTGGCTGTGACCCTGCCTTCAAGGCGCCTTAAGCAGCTGAACACTTTCCAGTGCAGTCGTTAGGACCCGGCTCTGCTGAATGAGCCGTGAGACCTTTGGCAAATCATTTTGGATTTCTGGGCTCCTCATCCCTGCAAATGAAGATGACAGTGTCTACCTCTTGTCATGAGGATTCAAAGGGGCTGATAAGTACAAAGTGCCTGGCACGTAGTAGATGCTTTAAAATTGTTTGCTAGTATTTTTAAAAAACTAAAGCTAAAAAACAAGTTCTTGCTAGTATTGTTATTAGCTTCATTTTTTGTCAGACCCAGAGCTGCCTCTGGCTGCTGTAGAGGCCCTTAGAATCTGGATTTATCCTTGAATCACTATAAAGCCAGGCGGCCTGAATTTTCCTTTGTCTCCCCCTAGAGTTTAATAGCCCCCTCCCCAGCCCGCAGAAGGTGACTAACTGCCTGTGCCTTGGTCTTTCTTCCCTGCAGTCCCCACAGAGGCCACCTACCACGCACTGGAGGAGGGCGTGGTCGAGTACTGCACCACGGAGGCCCCGCCACCTCTGCCAGCGGAAGCCCCAGTGGAGGTGATGGCCCAGCATGGCGACACATCCGTCAAGCCGCAGGCGCTCAAGAGCCGCATCGCCCTCAACTCAGCCAAACTGATCCAGGAGCAGCGGGTCACCAACCTGCACGTGAAGGAGATCGCACAGCACCTGGAGCAGCAGAACGACCTGCTGCAGATGATCCGCCGCTCGCAGGAGGTACAGGCCTGTGCCCAGGAGCGCCAGGCCCAGGCCATGGAGGGCACCCAGGCAGCCCTGAGCGTGCTTATCCAGGTCCTCCGACCCATGATCAAAGATTTCCGTCGCTACCTGCAGAGCCAGACGCCCAACCCAACCTCGGCTTCTGACCCTGGGCAGGTGGCCCAGAACGGGCAGCCCGACGGCGTCATCCAGTGAGGGCAAGGTCCCGGCCTTCTGCTGTGATTGGATGAATCCTCTGTGGCCTCGTAAGTGGCTTCTGGGATTGCCCATGGGCCAGCCGCGTGGACAGCTCCCACTTTGATAGTCACTTGGGGTCCACAGTTCTGAGAAAGGGAGACTGGGAAGAGGGACTTGTCAGGCTCCTGGGCTCCAAACCCACTTCCGCCCACCTCTGGAGCTGCCTCGCTGAGATCCAGAAGATTGGTCAGCCGGGGGTCGCTGTGCTGGTGATGAGACACAGGTGGTCATGAGCCAGGCTGGGGACGTGACCCAGATTCCGTCCAGGAAAACTCGAAAGGAAACATTGGCTCTTGCTAGGGGCCCCAGCCCTGTGCCAGGCCTTTGAGTGCGATCACGATGGTGGCACTGGTGCCAGCAGGAGGGCAATAAATAACATCCTCCTCCCGCTCTGGGGAATCCACTGCGCCCAAAGAGAAAGCCCACCCTCTCTCCTGCTCACTTTGCCTCAGTTCTCAGGGAACTGTCCTCACTGCTGTGCCCGTCAGTCCCCACCCCAGGCACAGCGAAGACCCTCCGCAATACCCCCGTCAACACTCACAGCTACCCCTCTGCCCACCTGGCTCGGGATGCCGTGTGTAGAGGAGACAGGTTGGCTATTTCTCATCTTCTACTTCGTCTCTGGGCAGCCCTTTGTGGTTTGCCCCCAAAGCTTTGGGCACTGTCAGTTTTAGAGAAAGAAGATCCACATGGAGTCAAACCACAGTGTGTTTGAGGTCACTGTTGGTTTTCCCGGTCATTTTTATCCTCTAGTGAACCCCTTCTGGGAAGACCCAAAGGAGGGCATCGCTGTGGCCATGCCTTTCCTCCTTTCTTCCCTGCTGAGTCCATTTCCAGACTCAGTGCAAAGAAGAGCCTTCAGCCAGGAGTGGTAGCCCATACCTGTAATCCCAGCACTCAGGAGGCTGAGGCAGGAGGACCTGCACAAGTTCAGGGCCAGCCTGGGCTACATAATGAGTTCAAGGCCAGCCTGAACTACATACATTGCAAGACCTTGCCTCAAAAAAAAACAAAAATAAGGATGGGGATTTAACTCAGTGGTTCTGTCACCTGTCTCGCAAGCGCAAGGTCCAGAGTTCAATCCCCGGTATCAAAAATAAATACATAAAAGACAGCCCTGCTCATGCCCACCCTGGACTGTTCTCCCCTGCCCCATCAGTCAGTGCCCCTCTGATTGGCTGAGTGATTCTGAAGCCACTTTTAACCTTGAATATATGAAGCAAGAGAGATGAAGCTATGACCTATGAAGTGGGACCCTTGGACCCCACGAGCTGCACAAGTGCAGAGTGCTGTGTGCTGGAGGAGGTGCTGCTCCTGCCACCCGACTCCTCTGAGCCACCCCTGAGGGTCTGACCCGCTGGTGCTTGTTGTCCCTTTCGTTCACAGGCCCGCCATCCATCGCCGAGACGCCCGCATCTCCCTGGTGTCCCCAAGTTTGCTGTCTTGCTGCTGGTGCCTTGGCCGCAGGTGATCCACGGTGACAACGCTTCAGGTCTATCAACAAGGGGCAGTGCCGCCCGCCTGGGCAGGTCTGTCTAGAATTGCTCGGCGCCACCACTGTGATCGCAGGAGACGCCCCCGAAGCCGGCGGGGAGGGGGCCCTGGGCCTCACCCTCTCTGGGGAGGCCTGTGTGCGGTGCCGGCTGCAGGGGGCGGAGGGGGACTGAGCCCGGCTCGAGCTGGGTGGCAGAGCCGTAGCCGGAAGGCAGCCGTCCCTGCCAGCTTGGCACCCCTGCTCTGTGGAGCCTGGTGGCCCCGAAGGATCTGCGACTTGGTTTGGTTTTTCTCTAGGGATGGAAATCTGAGCCAGTATTGTGTCTGTTTCACTTGGGTGTAAAGAAGCCTGGATCGCTTAAACGGACTCATTGTTTCCAGGTCATAGTTTTAAATTAAAGAAGTCACTTTTTTGTACACACGTTTCTCTGTGTCGGCATTGGTTATATGGAGAACAGAGTACAGGCAGTGAACTCAGGCTGAATCTGGCCCACACTTTTTTTTTATTATTTTAGCCCCTTCCCCTCCCTTTGTACAGAAGCTTTGATTCCGCTTTTTCCTTCTATTTTCACTTTTTTCTTGGCCCTTGATCCCCCCACCAGGTTGTCACTTTCTCCCCGTTTCCCAACCTCCATTATACATTTCAGCCCTCAGTTCCACTTTCGGTTTCTCACACCAGAGAAACAATGCAGTATTTAAACGTATGTGTCCGATTTATTTCATTTAAAGAGTGTGGTCTCAAGGTCCAGCCGTGTAGCTATAAATGTCTGAAGCTCACCCTTCTTCCACGGTAGTACTCCATTTTATTTTTTAAAAATAAACAAAAAACACATCTTCTTTATCCAGTCTCCAGTTGATGGGCTTTTGGGCTGTTTCCAAGATTTACATATTGCAAACTGCTGCTGTAAACATGGGTGTGCATATATCACTGTGGCATGATGCTTTTAATTCTTTCAGAAGGATACCAAGAAGAGGTATAGCTGGGTCAAATGGAACCTCTAGTTTTAATTTTTTGAGAAATCACACTGATTTCCACAGTGGTTGCACCTGTCTACACATTCAGCCAACAGTGGAGAAATAAAGTTTTATTGGAACACAGGCACACCCATTCCTTGAGGCTCTGTGGCCATTTTTGTGCTCTAATAGCAGAACTGAGTAGTTTTTAACAGGCACCTGGCCCACCAAGCCAAAAGTATTTATTTTCTGGCTTTTATACAGAAAAAGCCTTCCTGTTTCTGGGTTAGGAGATGATTTCAGATTCTGGGGAAGAATTACCAATCCTAGGTCTAACCCAAAACCTAGAATAGACTCTTGGAGGGAGAATAAGACTCTGCAGCTCAAACTGCACATGGTGGTGTACACATGTAATCCCAGCACGGGGGAGGCTGAGGCAGGAGGGTCGCGGCTACCCAGTGAGTTATATAATGAATACAAGGCCACCCTAAAATACACAGTGGGACCCTATCTGGGTGTGATCCCATCCTTCCTGAAAGCTGAGGACTCTGGCTCCCAGACTGCAAGACAAACTCAGCCAAAGTCCAGTTCCTACTCTAAAGAAGGGTGGCTCTTGGGAGTCTCTGCAAAGCAAGTGGGAGTCCCGAGAGCAGGGATACCACTGAGGCAAGAATAGCCTTCTTTCTGGAGGGACCTCAAGCCTCTTGGGTAGTCATGTTCTCATCAGTGTTTACTACTAATAAAAAAAAAAGCAGTGATTGTTGGACCCCCTCCTCTGCCCAGTCCTAAAAGCAGTACGTCATTACCTCCTTACAAGAGCCCCAGGAAGAAGGCGATCACGTTCTCATTTGCAGGTGAGGGCACTAAGGGTCAGAGGTTAAACAGTTGCCTAGGGCTGGTGTGGTGGTGCACACCTGTAATCCCAGCCTGTGGGAAGCTGAGGCAGGAGGATCGTGAGTTCAAGCCCAGGGTGGGCAACTTGGTGATTTAATAAGACTCGATCTCAGAAATGGCTGGGGGTGTAACTCAGTGCAAAAGCCTAGGTTCAGTCCCCAGTACTGGGGGGGGCAAGCATGTGAGCCGGAAGATACTTGTTCAGTCTGCCTCAAATCTTTGTGGCCTCCGTTTCATTGATCCTAGAAGCAGCAGAGGACAAATAATGACCTCTACTTGACAGTGGTGTGCGAAGGAACCAACAGCTACCACCCTCGAGCGTGAACTCTGTGTACATAGTGTCCTGGGCACTCTGTGTGCTTAATGCTTAATCTTGATTAACCAGGGTGGCTTGCGGGATGCCTGGGAGATTAGTAAAATACACTTCTGGGTGTGTCGGGGTGGGTCATGGGAGTGTGACCGCGGAGCAGGCTACGTCAACTCCCCGTTCCTTCCTCTCTGGCCTCTTTTTTTTTTTTTTTTTTTCCCAACAGGGTTTCACTGTGTAGCCCTGGCTGACTTCAAACTGATGAGGATCCTCCTGCCTCAGCCTACCAAGTGCTGAGATTACAAACATATACACTATGCCCAGGCCAGTGGGCATTTTTCAACAATGCTGGAACCAGAGAGTAGCAGTGCACAGGAGGTAAAGTCAGAAGGACGTGAGGCAGGGTGGGGTAAAGGGGAGCAAGGCTGGTGCAGGAAGAACTCAGGCCAGGAGGATCTGGCTGCAGATGCCCTGAGAGAGGCGGGCTGTGCTAGGGCTATGCTGGGCTGAGCCGGCGACTGCTGGCTGCAGTGTCCCCACAGTCCTGGGATCATTGTGACCAAGGAGGAAATGGCAGCTTCCCAGGGTTCCCTTTCCCATGGACAGTGCCAGGGGAGGATCAGCGTATCTGGTCCTGCAGGTGAGGATGTGAGATCAGCCCTCAGGAAGAAAGGCTCCTGTGGTTTTATGGACTGGGGACAGAGGGACAAGAACCAGAAGGGCAAGGCCAGGAGTGGAAAAGTACTGGGCGTAAAGCCTCCTTGAGACTCCCTGGTGTGCCTGCCTTGGTGGTGAACACCTGTGATCCAGGCACTGGGGAGTCTGAGGCAGGAGGATTGCCACAAGTTCCTGGGCTACTAGGGCCGGGGATTTAGCTCAGTGGTGCCACCACCTGCCTCCAAATACAGGGTCCTGTGTTGGATCCCTGGTACCACCCCTCAAAAAAACAAGTTCCAGGGCTACATAGTGAATCCAAGGCCAGCCTGTACTATGTAGTGAGACTCTTTCTTCAACAAAAAAACAAACTAAAAATCCTTCTCTAATAAGGTTGACTCCACGATGTTAGCAGGTTGACATGTAGATACTTGTAGATGGTTTCACGAAGTGCCTGGCTCTAAGTAGGTGCTCAATGCAAGGAGCGGCTTATTTCAGTCCTCTTGCTGTGTAACAAATGACCCGCAACTCAGGGACTGAAGCTACCGCCACTGTTCCTGATTTGCACTGTGATCCGGGGTGAGGGGACTCTGCTTCCCAGAGTAACAGACAGCACCCGTACCTGTCAGGTGAGGAGTCTCCCCACGGTCTGTCTGTCCCTGGGGACAAACTCCAGACAATCGGGGGCCTTGGGACGGTGTGAGGGGGTCACCCCATGGCTTTTGGTCTCAGATGACCAGCCCAACTTTGGGGTGATGCCTGCATAGGGGTGTGGTCTTCATAATGGCTGCTTGGTGATCCCAGCCCCAGGCTGTACCTGAAGGGGCTGCTTCTGTGTCCCTGCAAAGCTGCCACCTCCTCTGCCCACCTTGTCCCCAGCCAACTCCTGGGCAGTGTCGGGCCTAGCTTGGCCTTGCCGACCACCCACTCTTGGGTCCCTCACCCTGGACTCCTGGTTTCTGGCTGATTCCCAGCCTTGTCCACGTTCGTCCCAGCTGCAGCCCAGCCTGGCTCTGGCAGCGGCACCTTCATTCCCAGCTGTTGAAGCTGGGCACCTGGATGGACCTTTGGTCCCCTCCTAGTGCCACCCTTCACATCCAGTACTACTTCTTCCTCTTCTTTTCTTCCTCTTCCTCTTCCACTTCCACTTCTGCTGCTTCTTCTTCTTCTTTTTCAAATTCAGGGCCTTCACACTGAGCTACATCCCCAGACCTTTCTTGTTTTGCTTTGTTTTGTTTTACTTGAGACAGTGTCTCAATAAGTCACTAAATTATCCAGGCTGGTTTCAAGCTTGTGATCCTCCTGCCTCAGCCTCCCAGGTGTGCACCACCATGCATGCCTGGCTCTTACATCCAGTGGTTCAGCAGGCCTCCCGCAGGTCCTCAACCCCACACTCCCTGCCTCTGCTGCAATCCTTCATTCTCACCCACAACAGCCTCTCCTTGGCCTCTCTGCCTCCAGACCCCTCCCTTTGTTGTTGTCTGTCTTTGTTTGAGACAGGGTCTCGCTGTGCACCTCTGGCTGGAACTCCGTGTAGTCCAGGCTGGCCCGGAGCTCGCCATCCTCCGCCTCATCTTCCTGAGTGCTCTGACTACGAACATGCACCACCATGCCCGGTGTCTGCAGACACATATTTTTCTGTTTTCTTCTTTATCTTGATGATTGAGATAGAGTCTCTGCAGTTCAGGCTGGCCCTGAATTCACTATGTAGCCCAGGCAGACCTCGAACTATGGTGATTCTCCTGCCTCAGTCCCCCGAGTGCTGGGATTACAGCCACATGCCACCGTGCCCGGCCGGGTTTTGTTTTATTTTGTTTTGTTTGAGACAAGATCCCACTCTGCACAGTAGTAGTTCAGGCTGGCCTCAAACTCACGGGCCTCCCAAACGCTAGGATTAAGGCGAATGCCACCACCCCGCGGGCAATGCCATCTGTTTGTAAGTGGCAGACCCGGGAGTCACCTGGCTTCCGCCTCCCCTGTGACTCAACCTCCATTGAGAGCCTGAACATGCAGGCTGTGACCTCGGAAAAGCCCCGTCTCCGGTTCGGCTGGGGTTCCCTGCAGTGCGGCCTCTTCCTGAGGGCAGCTGGGAGCTAACCGTGAGATGAGGGAGGGAGATGCGTGGATTGGATCACAGCAGTCCACGCTGGCCTGGCCCTGAAGGACCCGAAGAGGCTGGAAGGGTCGCTTCAGGGCACACGCATGCGCACCGAGGTTCCCCAAGCGTCCGCCCCCATCCCTAGTCTTCCTGTCATCGCCCGCGGCCTAGAGCAGCTCAGGGGAAATCGCTTGGTTCAGCAAAGAGTGCCTTGCGCCCCCTGCAGGAAGCAGGCTCGGAATTAGAGTTAGGGTTAAGGAAGGTCAAGAATGTAGGCCAGCCCTGCCTTACGACCCTTTTCACACACACACACAAAAAAAGCCAGTTTAAACCTGTTGACTTCTTAGTCTAAACCTTCAGGCCAAACAAAACAACCCCCGGGGCTAGATTCAATCATAGAAGCGGCTTAACCTAACGTGCTGGGGTCTAGTGTTAAGCCCCCTGAGAGGAGCTAAAAGTGGGCAACCCAGGCAGAGGCAGGACGCCGGAGAGAACCTCTCTCCTCTGCATCTCGCCTCTTCCTCCTTATTGCATGTGGCTGTCCTGCCTGGGATGACCCCAGAAAGATGCCTTTTGTTTGGGTTTTTGTTTTGTTTTGCTTTGCTTTGTTGTTGTTATCCTTGTTGATGCAGGGTCCTGCTATGCAGTCCAGGCTGGCCTTGAACTCACTACGTAGACCAGACTGGCTTGGAACTCAAAGCAATCCTCCTGCCTCAGCCTCTCAAGTGCTGGGATCACAGGTGTGCGCCATGATACCTGGCTGTCA